CCAGATTGATAATTTTTGATCTTTTTGTTTCTTTGAAATAAGCATTTAAGGCTATTAACAGTCCTCTTAGCACTACTCTTATTGTATCCCATTGATTTTGAAAACTTGTGCCATTCAGTTTGAGAAATCTTTTGATTTCTATCTTAATTTCATCATTGACCCAAGGATTGTGAAGCATCAGATTATTTAATTTCCATGATTTTGTGTGCATTTGAGAATTTCTCCTGGAATTGATTTCTAATTTTATTCCACTGTGGTCTGAGAACATACATGGTATGATTTTCACTTTTCCAAATTTGCTGAGACTTGTTTTGTGCCTAAGATATGATAAATCCTGGAAAGTGTCCCATGTGCTGATGAGAAGAATATATATTCTATAGTTTTTGGGTAGAGTGTTTGGTAAAGTCTATTAGGTATATTTGTTCTAGAGTCCTGTTTCAGTCCAATCTTTTTTATTGATTTTCTCCTTCAATGATCTGCCCAGTTCTGTCAGTGGGGTGTTGAAGTCCCTGATGATTATGATGCTACTGTTTATTTCTTTGCTTCGATCTAGGAGAATTTACTTTATGAATCTGAGAGCTCTTGTGTTAGGTGCGTATGTATTTAGGATTGTTATGTCTTCTTCTGGAATTGCCCCCTTCATCATTATATAATGAACATCTTTGTCTTTTATTACCATTGTTGAATTAAAATCAATTTTATATGATATGAGAATGGCTACCCTTGCTTGCTTTCATTTTTATTTGCATGAGATATTTTTTCCATCTCTTTACCTTGAGTCTGTGTGAATCCTTGCTGAATAGTTTGGTTTCTCGGAGGCACCATGTATTTGAGTTATGATTTTTCATCCATTCAGGCAGTTTATGCCTTTAAGTGAAACATTAAGACTATTCATGTTCAGTGTTAGTATTGATATGTGGGAGACTTTTCTGTTTGCCATCTTGAATGATACCCTGTTGTTCTGTTTTCTCTCTTGTGCCATTGTTTTTAAGAGCTATGAGCTTTACCTTTTGAGTGTTTTTACACTGGTGGGTATCTATTGTGCTGTTCCATGTATAGTGCACTTTAGAGCATTTCCTGTAGGGCAGGTCTAGTAGTGACAAATTCCCTTAGTGTTTGCTTGTCTGGAAAAGTCTTTATTTCTCCATCATTTATGAAATTTAGTTTTGCATGGATACAAAATTCTTGGCTCGAGTTGTTCTGTTTGAGAAAACTAAAAATGGAGCCCCAATCCCTTCTGGCTTGTAAGGTCTCTGCAAAGAAGTCTGCTGTTAGCCTAATGGGTTTTCCTTTACAGGTTAGTTGTTACTTTCATCTTGCAGTTTGTAGAATTTTCTCCTTCATTTTGACTTTGGCCAGGTTGATGACTATGTGTCTTGGAGATGTCCTATTTGCTGTGAGTCTTTTCAGTGTTCATTGACCATCTTGCATCTGTATATCTGCATCTCTGGTGATACCAGAGACATTTTCCTTAATAATTCCCTCAAATAGGTTTTCCATGCTTTTTGCTTTTTCTTTTTCTCCCCCTGGGATACCTATAATTTTTATATTGGTTCTCTTTACATAGTCCCATATTTCTCTGGGTGATTATTCATTCTTCTTTATTCTTTTTTCTTCATCACTTACTGTGTTATTCCAAAATCCTTGTCTTCAAGCTCTGAAACTCTTTTTTCTGCTTGGTCTATCCTGTTGTTGAAGCTTTCTGCTATAGTTTGAAATGACTCTTTCATTTCTTCTAGTTCTGTTATATCCTTTCTTATGTAGTCTATTTCTTTTTCTTTTTTTTTTCTTTTTGAGACGGAGTCTCACTCTGTTGCCCTGGCTAGAGTGAGTGCCGTGGCGTCAGCCTAGCTCACAGCAAC